GGAGAGAGAGAGAGAGAGAGAGAGGGAGAGGGAGGAAAGGTAGGACTCCGCTGTGTGTACATACCCGAGTATCTGGCGAAAGCTCGCTCGTGGGGCCGCGAAACGTCTGCACGCGGTGCTCCCCGATTTCGTGTTCGTGCTCTCGTCCATTCACTCTCCGGCTGTCTGGGTGGATCGCGCGCGTGCCTTGGCGATCGTGTGAGTGATCGTTGGCGCGGGCGTCGGCCAACACGGACGCGGTGGACACGATCGCGGCACGGACGTCGGGGGTAGAGCACGTGTGTGCGCGCAACCCCCTGCACTGTGCACGCCCCCTCGCCGGTCACGGAACACTGTGGCGAGCAGGCAGGGGTTGGACACGCCCATCCGGGGCGGAACAACCACCCCACCAAGACGGGGTACGCCGGTACGCCCGACCACGTCTCCTACGACGGCTCCTCGGCTACTAATAATACGCCGATATACCACCTATTCAAGCCACCATGGCTCTACGTGGAGGTCCCTACGAGGCCAGCTTTCACGGGACGCGCGCCGCTTCTCACTCGCCAAAGACACTGCTAATCGCGCGCCCGACCACGCTCTGATCGCCAACCGAGGCGATTCCCTGCGATTCTTCCTCGTCCCGCGGTTCGGTGGTGATTCGACGTTCGGTACGGTTCGGTTCGAGAGATCGAAGAAATTGAAGATCGAAATCTCGTAGTCTCGTAGTAGAAGGAACATTGCGGTGTTCTTTTCGCCTCCTCTTGTTCTTCGGGAAGAGGATAGAACAGGATAGAAGAATAGTGCGGCATGGGAGGGAAATTCAGTGGTGAAATTGATGTGATCGGGGGGAGGGGAATGTGAGTGATGTCTCGCCGGTGAGTCGAGGTGCGCCGATCGTTGTTCCCGTTGTTTGTTCGAGGATCCCACGCACGGAGCGAGGATAGGTCTCTCGGTGGTAAGTCTCGCCGTCTCGCGAGCAAAGAGAGCAGCGACGTAACAGTAACGTTAGCAGTAGCTCGTCCTCGTCGTGGAAGAAGAGAAAGGAGGATGGAGGATCGAGAGGCGAGGAGGTAAAGGAGGGAAGGAATAACCTGGAAGGGTTATGTGGAGGATGCAGGAGGGCAGGACCGTGTCGCCTCTAGGGCCGGTCGTTCTACCGCGGGAGGAAGCGGATATGCGTGCGGGGTTGTCGCTGCCGCCTCAAGAAAGGAGGCACGTGTTGCTCCACGTACGGGCCGCCGATCCTTTTGTCCGCTACGAGAACGGGCGCCAGCGCTCGCCCTCGCCGACCTCGCCGATCCTTCGCCCGGTCGACAACGAGGCAGCTTTCCACGACTCGATGGAAAGTTCGGTGCGCTCCTCGAAGAGGATAGAGGACACCGAGGAGGCCGAGGAGGAGGAGGAGGAGGAGGAGGAGCAGGAGGACGAGGAGGAGGAGGAGGAGGACGGGGACCGGGAGGAGAGGAGCGCGAGGAGAAGCAGGAACGTGGCCGAGGACGAAGAGGACGAGGAGGAGCAGGAGGAGGAGGAGGAGGAGGAGGTGCATCCGGGAGATCGGGAGGACGGAGGTTACCAGGAGGACGAGGAGGTCGAGGTGGACGTTTGTCGGGACGAGGTGGACGAGAGCAACCCGAGCAGCCCCGTCGACTTGACCGCCCCTTCGTCGAGGGGCGGCGGCGGCGGGCCCGATCAGTTCCTTAACCCGTTCGCCGCTCGGGGCGTGCACCCTTTCTCGTGTGTTCAAAGCGGTGAACAGACCGCTACTGCCCACGGCACACCTGTGTACATATCCGCGCAAGCCGCCGCCGCAGCCGCCGCCGCCGCCGCCGCCGCAGCCGCGTCGACCGTGATGACCGTCTGCACTTCCGGGAACGCGGCACGCACGACCGGCACCTCGACCGGCGGCGGCATCACCACGACCGCGAGCACTGTGCAAGCGAACAAACGGTGTCTCGCGTTCTCGGTCGAGAATATATTGGATCCGAACAAGTTCACCGGCGGAAGGGTGGTTCACAGCCGCGTCCAGCATCGGCGACATCGGCGGGCCGACAGCGTGCACGAAGGTGATTACTATTACCTCAAGTTTCCATTCTGTCTCGATAGTGGACTTGGATCGATACACTGTGCTGGAAACGATCGTTTTTTATACACGGGATGTATACGGGATCCTTATCGTTTTCTTACGGAGAAGAAACGTTGATCCCAAAAAATTTTTACGATATTTCACGAAGGGGAATATTATTTATTTTTAACGCGTTTAATTTTTCGAACGGCGAGCAATAATTTTTGATAGAAGAGATATATAGAATCTCGATATACTTGTATACATTGACGATCGGTATTATTATAATTGAGCAACGAGTGTATATTTACCTTGCTGGTGAACGGACGACCGCGATAAATTTACGAATATTTACATTTTCGACAGACGGGATCCGAGCGTCGCTCAGTTAGAAACACGGTTTCGCTACATCATCCTCGGTTATAAATTCGATGGAACGAACGTGGCCGATTAATCCGCGGTTAAGGATCGTATTCGCATTGAGGAGCGAATTCGCGCAAAGCCTCCTCCTAATCTCCACCGACGTTTCGTTTCCCCACACGAAACATCAGCTCGCATGTTTATTGCTTCCTCCTTGCTCGCGCTTCGTCCTCGTAATCGTCCTCCACCGAAACACAACATCGTACGTCAACATCTTTTTCTTTTTCTTTTCTTTTCTTTTCTTCTTTTTTTTTTTTTTTTTTTTTCCATCGAGGAAACATATGGTCCTCGTCTCCCCTCCCTCCCCAGATCCCGCTCCGTGATCTTGAACGTGGATTTTTTTCTCCCGTCCCCATGCAGCGCATCTCATCTCCTCCCCCCCCTTATTCGACGCCTCTTCCTCGTTTCTAAGTTTAGACAAGATGGAAGGATGGCCCTGTTCCCCGCGCGTCGTGCAATTTCGACCGTTTCAGAGTTATTTGCGTGTTGCCGGGGATTCCGACAAAAGTGATGATGTAGACGCTTTACCGGGAACAAGGGTTGAAGCAGAAGAACGGTCGAAAATGTCGCCGTTAATGCTGCCCTCTTCCAACGCCATTCGTTCCGTCGTGATCCGTTTAAACCGCGTCTCACGTTTTAATCGACGTTTCCCGACGCCCGACGCAACGACAACGATGACGATGCTCGACAGATTCTCTCTTAGGTTAAGACTCCTTCGAGTTATTTAAACGAACACATTATTTACAAAATGTTCGAAAGAAAAAAAGAAAAGACTGAATTCATACAATTAAGGGGTGAAAAGGATTAACGATTCATTCGACGAAGATGATTCGGAAAGAAAAACAAAAACATCGCCCCTGATTCCCCTCTGATTCGATGTGATCCTTTTCAATTTTACGGATTAACGATTTCAAGTAACAAAGTTGAAACTTCCACTCTTTGATTATATATATAAAGTTTTTTTGAAGAAAATCGAAAATCGAAAATTATTTTTCGTTACGAATACCTCACCCGATATTTCGAGCGAGAAGATTCAACCCGTTTATTAAATTCTTCGTTCGCGAGCAGCCTGGTAATAATCGAACGAGTCGTCTGGCGTGGAAAGCTTATCCGCTCCCGATAATGTCGATGATCGAATCCTCCGCGCGCGCGCGCGCTCACGAGGATCCCAATTTCACAGTTGACTTTCGAATTTAATGGAGTCTGGCGGACAGATAAGAAGGAAGAGAATCCCTGGCTCCGATAACGGAGCGTGGGCGGAGGAATCGAGTCCGACGAAGGGGGTGAAACGGGCCAAGAGGAAAAGAGACCAAGGTTGTAGGGGGTGGTGTAGGGGGACGCAGAGAGAGGGGGGGGGCAGCTCGCGAGGGCGGCCTGTCGGAGCGTGACAAATTGCTCCGCTAATCTGCGTTAACCAGTCCTTGAACCCCATCATTATCGTCCCTTTATCCCGGTACGGGACGCTGGCTGCAAACGAAATCAACCGACGCTGTCAACCGATGGATGGATAGATATCCGTCCGTCCTCCATCTTGCGCGAAATCACTCGGAGAAAAAAGACACTTATTACGGCCTATAATAACGGACGGATGGACGAATTCCATTCTCGGGAACGAGAGAAATATTGGGGGTGGGGGGGGGGGCGAAACTTGTCGAAGCGAAGAAGAGAGGCGAGATCGCAACATAGAGATGGTGTGGTTTGCAAAATTATTAATAGAAAAGTGAAAGTTTGGATAGATGGATGGAGTGAAGTAAGCGCGGAGAGAAGAGCGGCGGAGGATCGATGGAGAGGCGATGAAATCGGGATTACGACGATTCTCGGCCCATCCATCTTGCAGGGTGGTCAGGAATACCCATTAAAAGTGCATCAGAGGCAGCCGGCCGATCGGTTGAAATCCGTTTCGACCTCGGCCCTCTCATCCCCGGCACCCCCGCTGCAAATCCGGCGACGGAATAATATCGCCGGTTGTTATGATAATCGCGCAGCATCGCGGCGTATCGCGTCGCATCGCGCCAAGCCGCCCAGAAAATTGGCTCTTCTGCATCATAATGACTTCTCCCTCGTCGCCGCGCTTCCCCTTCTACCCCGCTTCTCTCCCCCTTTTTGCACACGCCACCGATTCTCCGAACGTTCACCCCCTCCCCCTTCTCCTCCCCCCCCCCCTTCGCGACTCGAAATCTCGATCTCCGGATTTTCCGCTAGATTTTCTGGAAAAATATCCGTAATCACCGCTCGGACGTTGGACGTCCAAGTATCAGTCGAACGAGCTCCTTTTCCTGCTGGCTGTGTTTTTCTTATCGAGGGGGGGGGGGGGGGGGTTGCCCCGATCGTATCGTTTCGAGGGAACGATTCTATGCGACGTGGACCGACCCCTCATTCGGGTTTCGAAAACGCGATCTTCTGGAGAACGCGAGAAAATTTGTGGAAAACGCGCGCGAGGGACGATTCTTTGCGAGAGAAGCAGTTGAGTGGAAAAGAGAGGAATTAAAATTTGTTCGAGCGAGATCTTTTACTCGATGAATAATAATCGTACCGCAGGACAGGAATATATGTTATAATAGATAAGAGGAAGAGTTTCGAAATTAGGAAGGATTTAATTGTTTGTACTGGTGCAACAAGCCGGATGATTAAACTGTGTTTAGATCGGCCGATGGTAAAAGCAATTTTGAACCCTAGTTTATTGGATCAATCATCGTCCCACCGATATTTCCTCCCCACAGATTTTAGACACGTGGCCATATGTGTTCCTGTAAACCTATGGGTTTATCCTTTATGAAGAGGAGCGGAGAACCTGGTCAGGCTAAGAACCTGATTATTCGACACTTGCCTATAATATCTATAATTGGCCGCCCGCTCGTAAAACAAACGGACCGCTGTTAAATCTCTCTGATCGATCGTGATCAACCTCGCCTCGCCGTTTATCTTCCTTCCGTTATTGCTCTGGCACGCGAAATTTCACACTGTTCCTAATATTCCCGCCGCCCATTAACGTTTCTAGGCTTCGATCCAACGTCGCCGTCTCGCGACGCTTCGTCAACGTCATCATCGGGTGAGAGGGGGAGGGGGAGCGAAGGGTAAAGAGGTGATCTGCCTATTCCCAAGTCGCGATACCCGTTCTCATTGTGCTTAATGAGGAAAACCGAAATAAGTGTTCCTGACTGTGTGCTCCCATCCCCCTCGTGCCCTCTTACACTACCCCCTGGGGACCTTACCCCCCTTACCGCCGTATATATCGATTCTCCCCAGCGATCGTGCCTAATGAAGAAGATTTAAACGAGATAAACGCGATAACAGGGTTGCATCGTCGAGCCTAATTGCCCAAAAATGCCTCGCGATCCTTCCCAACTGTTCCCAAAAATTTATCCCGAATCATCGAAATTCGATTGGAAAATTGTTGCGCGATCCGATTCTCGTCACAGCGTGTCGAATGATCGAAAAGCGATCCGCGTCGAACGAGGTCGAAAACGAACGATGATGGAAGAAGATAGAAGAAGATATCGTTTAATTAGAAACGATTAAAGGATTTCGGGGGTGGGAATATCTCCGATATTCGTGAAAAGAAAAAAAAAAAAAAAGAAAACGGGCGGCAACGGCTCCGGTTGGAAAATGGAGAACCGGAGGAACAATATAAATTACGCGATTCAATTAGAGGCCGATCAATCGGCGCAACGCCTGTACGATGGCAAAAAAGAAGGAGGGGGGTGGAGAGGTGAAGGGAGGAAGGATGTAGCCTGCGGGCCACGGTGTGGAGTTGAAAGATACGAGGGCCGGTGGCGGAAAATAGGCAAAGAAAGAGGAAGCTGTGGAAGAGGGGGCGAGAGAGAGAGAGAGAGAGAGAGAGAGGCGGTCGGCGGCGGCCTGTACGACGGCCTGCAAGAACGATCGCGCGTTAACGAGATACAAATCCCATTACGACGTAAACCTTCTCGATCCGTCGCCCCCTACGGACTTCCAACCCCCAGGCACGGTGCTAGGCTACGGGCTATGGGCCACGAGCCACGCCAATTCGGATGAGCCGTTCCACCGTCTCTCTCCATCTCTCCATTTCTCCATTCCCCCCCTCCTCTTTCTCCTTTCCTCTCCAGCTGTCTTCTCCTCTCTCTTCAACCGCCCGTCCGTCTCTTTCAATCTCTCTCTCTCTC